ATTCTTGTTGGATTTCTTTGGGTTGTCCCATAGCTGCGCCCAGAACTGCACTGTTTCTTCTTTGTTAGGTGTTAACTGGTTCACTGCAGTCTCTCCATTGATGGATTGGTAGAAATGTTTCTGATTCGACTGAAATTGGAGATTCTGCCTGTAGTGCGCAATTCAAGCTTCATATCTGTTGTTCTTTTTGGCTATGGCTGTTATTTGCTGCTTTATTATTTCTAGTGCTTCCTTGATCTTCCTTGTTTCTAGGTAGTATTTCTTGATCAGGTATTCTTTGATCTTTTTGTTCTTCAGCTTCTTTTCTTTCATCTGTTGCTTGCATCTGATCTTAGTATGCTGATCTTATTTTCCAACCTGATCTTCCATTTTGGTGGTGCACTGTTTGGTTTTCTTGTTTGATTTTGCATCCAAGGTATTCAGTTGTAACTGCAGCCGTGCTGTACATCAGTTGGTTTGTTTCTTGCAGTGAACTGGTGCTTATATTTGATATTACAATATTGGCATCATTTAATACTTATGCTTTTTCTTTTTAACAAGCTTCAATGCAGGCAATCTTATTCTGTTGTTTTTGTGCTATTCTGGATGCTCAGTTGTTGTTGTTGTTATTTTGCAGATGCTCCCATATTTAGTGATACCTAACACAAGAATGGCTGCATCTAGCTGACTTTATCTGATCTCAAAATTAAACAGGGTCAGACATGGTCAGTAGCTGGGTGGGAGACCCTCAAGGAATCCCAAGATTCTAGCCTAAAGTATTAAATTTAAAAAGAAATCCTATCAATAGCAAATGGCAAATGACTTCTGTATTGCAGTCAAGGAAGCTACATAGTTGCACCTCTGGAATCACCAGAAGTTGAACTCAACTCAAGGGAGATGGCCTTTACTTTTTTAAAAAAATACAGCTCAGTTATTCCATGTTTCTATTCTTCAGCAGAGTTTTCTTTAGTAAGAAAAAGTATGGAATTAGTAGTAAAACATGGGTGGGTAACAAGTGAAAGTTGCCAACATAAATCTGAATCAGATAGGCACGTGTGGTGACTGCGTAACTAACATCTCATCTGGAAGAGCCCTACATCTGCTAATCCCTATCCAGTGGTAGTGCAAAGTAGAAAAATGGTCTTTGGCCTCTTCTAAGAAGCAAATTTTCCCATGCTATCCTGTCGATCTAGCCTTCTGTTTTATGTCCTTTCACAGTTTTACAAATCTGCTGTTTACTTTATGAACTGCGTGGATCTATTTATGCATGATCTTTTGCACTTCTCTTCATCTGCACTTCTAATATATTAATCATATGTGTGCTACAAGGGCCTTAAAATGTTTCATGCTTTTTAATGAAATTCCTTGTCAGTGGAAACTGGGTAGTGAGACTGCAGAAGATGAAAAAATAGCAAGCTGAGCTTTGCTGTGTTATTTGTACTAAATGTAGATAAGCAGTGCTCCATTGCACATCAGAACACACAAATCCACAACATCCTGGTTCCACAATAAGGCCTTCTGTGCTTCTCTGTGTGTACAATGCATTGCTGAGCACTTACTGGAGTACAGCTGGATTCCTTGCTGCAAGATGTGCTGAAGATGGAGTCAAATGCAGTTTCCAATTCTAAGAAAAACACTTATTTTTAAAAAGAAAAGCCACAGGAACACGTGGCTTTCCTCCCCTGCCCCAACTTTGCTCTCTGTTTCTGAAGTCAGTTTATGGTTGAGGTTTAATTAGAAATGCCATTTACACACTCATACTTGCACGTTCAACACTGGCCTGAATGAAGATGATCTCATCCTGAATAAACACAGCAAAGGACAGGCAGGAAGTCTCTAATATAGAGTAAACTGGCATATAACCTTTCTGAAACCTTGTTCAAGCGACAGAGGTAGGAAAGCAAACAAGGAAGAGATTCTGTGGAAGGAACAAGTGTGCTTCCAGTTTTCAAAGAACAACAAAAGGCAAAACGCCACATGCTGTGAAATCATTTATCAGGGATCCATATCCAAGAAGGCAATCTTATCTCCGGTGCTACATAGACCAGGTGGGAGTCATATTTTGGAGACTTTGGCTAAATATTCTCATTTCTTGACTACCACCTCTGAGCCTCCTGCAGTGGTCTGGACTTGGTGTCATCCTGTGCTCACTCTGGGATCTAAAAATCTACATAACAAGTTCTTTATGTCTCATAGAGACTGGTTTCTTGAAAATCAGCCATTTCTATACCCCATGGTGTAGGGCTTTTCTCACTCAACAAAATTTCATGGATGGAGGAGAGTAAATGTGGCTCAGCTAAAATAAATCAGTCCTACTACATATGACTTTGGCAGCACTTTGAATCTCAACATTAGGTTCTAATAGCAACTTAGTCTAAACACTTACAATAATTGCTTAGATATTAAGCGTAAATCAAAACTATGCCTCTCTTTCTTCTATAATGCAGTTCTTCTACTTGGTGCCCTCCAACTATGTGGGGCTTCAACTCCCAGAATTACCAGATAGTAAGATTATGGACTGGGTTGGCCTGGAAATCTGCAGATTGTAATCCTAATACATCAGGTTGGGGAAGGCTAATGATAATATATTGCCTACTGTCCTTGTTCTTGTCGATGACTTATTATCTCTGCTGTCTTTTGCTCAACCATCTGATAACCAGATTTCAAAAGGAGTCCATGGGCTTTGTATCCTTCTTCAAGCTTAACCATGTGATAGGAGCTCCACATAGCATCCAGTTTCCCGTGGGACTAGGGAAATCTTCCACAAGTAAAAAGAGTTCCACTGCCATGATGAAAAATGCCAAAAGTTGTCCAGAAAGCCACTTCAGGTCTCTATCTTCAACCAATTATGCCATTGCAGAATGCATGGGTGAACCAGCCCTAAGAATGGGAGCACAAGATAAGAAAGAAAAGTAATTTCAAGGCAACAGAGGAGAAGGCGGCTAGATTGACAATTGCACATCCATCAGCTAGACAGGGCATATGAGAAGTGAGAGAAAAAACATTTGTTTAAATGCTGGGTGCATTTAACAGGGAAAGGTTCTCATCATCTTCATGAGCATAAGGATAGAAGCCACAGCTACTCATATTTTGAAATACTACAAAAAGAGAAGGGCAATGAATTATAGTTGGTAGGGACCATTCGGACCACTGAGTCCAGCCACCTGGTCTAGAGGACAGGGGAGTCAGAATGGCAGCTAGAACCATGCAATTGTGTGTGTGTGTGTGTGTGTGTGTGTGTGTGTGCAGACATGGATGCTATCTTGATTTTTTTACCCCAACCCCCAAAGACACCCCTGCCCTCAGTCAGGGCAGGCATCAAAATTAAAGCATCCTTGAAAGATCAGAGCTTCTGCTTGAATATATCCAGTTATCCAGAGAAACCCATCAGTTCTCTGGATAACTGATTCCATTTTTAAAATGGAATATGTCATTGTGTAATGTAAGACCATCGTTTCAAGTCCTCTACTCTGGAACCATTGAGAACTTTTCCCGAATGGTATTCTTTCAGAGGTTTAGAAGGGGCTCCCATGTGCCTCCTTCTGTACCCTCAGTCTTTTCTTCATATGCACATTGCAGATGCCCATATTTCAAACCAAGCGGCTTCAGCCTTTTCTGAAGCTGCCCAAAATAGGCCCAGATTTAGCACAACGGGTACAACCTGATGCCCTAGAACTGCATGCTACCCTAAAATATTTTTTTAAAAAGGGGTGAACCCCCAGAGTTCCTACAAGTGTAGCCAAAGAATTGTAGTCCACCAAGTGACAGAAGGAGAACATTATTTACTTGGAAAGTAATCGTATTAACTGGATTTATTTTTTTAAAAAAATCCTACATTAAAATTGAATGAGTTTTAGTTTTGTTTGCTCCTGCCCACTTTTTGGGTCTGTGCTTCTCTATGACTGAGAAAGTCCAAGCCCTTGTAAAGTTTGAGAGGGCTTGCTTCTGTTGTTGTAAGACCATAAGAAAAATCCTGCTGCCTCTAATTCAGTTAATTCAATCTTTGGTTTCCAAAAATGGCCAGATATTCTGGGGATTCACAACCAATAGCTGGGAATTCTGGAAATTGTAATTTCTCCCATCTGGAGAAAATTCCAAGTTGGGGAAAGCTTCCTTAATAC